TATCAAATACAATATAAGTAGTAGTTCATATGATATCTCTGTGTCTATCTATAATTAATTAATTTCCTGTATAGCAACGCCAAAAAAAGAAACAACCTTATCAGATGTTAGTAGGGTTTACTTTTTCTATCTATCTTTTGGGTGTTACTGCTTACAGTATATGGATATATAGATAAATTGCGCTAATTCACTAGCTTGAACATAAATGAAACAAGCCCATGTGGGGATGGTTTCCCTCACTCACCAGGGGTCATTATAATAATTCATCCATAAATATGTATATATATGGTCCCGTCCTCCGTCTCTCCACCCCCCCCCTCCCCCCCCCATGGGTTGGGTCCCCAGGTAGCAGCCCCAATTCCCTTCTATTTGCAAGCTATTGGCAGCATTTCTGAGGTCCAGCTTCGTATTTGCTAGGTCTTTGCAGCATTTCTGACTACCAGCCTCGCATTTACTAGGTACATGCTACCTTTTAGGCGACCTACGTAGCACACATACTCCTTCAAAGTACCTACGTGCTACCTATAGTCATATATACATGTGCTATGCATCTACTGTATCTACTTCCTACTTACTACCTGTGTACTCTGACAACACTACCTGTGTTTAACATATACCGTACCTACCATACATGTCAATGATGCCATGCATACCATACCTATCATATCTATCATATCTATCATACATACCATACATACCATACATACCATACACATGAAATGTAATTACCACACCTACCATACATACAATAGCAAACATACATGCCATACATACCATACCTACCTTACATAGGAAATCTTCCATACCCATCATAGTAACAATACATACCATACAGACCATACATACTGTCATATCAAACATACCATACCCAACAGACTTACATACCATACCTACCATCCATACAATACCAACCACTCATGCCATACATACCATACCTACCATACATACCAAACATACCATACTTTCCAAACATGCCATACCAGACCGACCACACACACCATACATACACAACATACCATACCACACCCCCACCACACCACAGTGGGGGGGAGGGGGACAGTACCACACCCCCACCACGCCACAGGGGGGGAGGGGGACAGTGCTGGGTCCCCAGGTAGCACCCCCCTTCCCTTCTATTTGCAAGCTATTGGCAGCATTTCTGAGGTCCAGCTTCGTATTTGCTAGGTCTTTGCATCATTTCTGACTACCAGCCGCGCATTTACTAGGTACATGCTACCTTTTAGGCGACCTGCGTAGCACACATACTCCTTCAAAGTATCTACGTGCTACCTATAGTCATATATACATGTGCTATGCATCTACTGTATCTACTTCCTACTTACTACCTGTGTACTCTGACAACACTACCTGTGTTTAACATATACCGTACCTACCATACATGTCAATGATGCCATGCATACCATACCTATCATATCTATCATACATACCATACATACCATGCATACCATACATACCGTACATACCATACATATGAAATGTAATTACCACACCTACCATACATACAATAGCAAACATACATGCCATACATACCGTACCTACCTACATAAGAAATATCCCATACCCATAATAGTAATCATACATACCATACAGACCATACATACTGTCATATCAAACATACCATACCCAACAGACTTACATACCATACCTACCATCCATACAATACCAACCACTCATGCCATATATATACCATACCTACCATACATACCAAACATACCATACTTTCCAAACATGCCATACCAGACCGACCATACACACCATACATACCCAACATACCATACCACCCCCCCACCACACCACAGGGGGGGGAGGGGGACAGCGCCACACCGCCACCACACCACAGGGGGGGAGGGGGAAGATCTCATATGGGGCCAGTATATGGGACCCATCCCATGGGGGGTGGGGGGAGGGGGGGGGTGGCAGGGCCTGGTGCATATATATATATATATATATATATATACATATACACAAATAGTCATGGATATCTCCATGACCGCTTATCATATAATTATATAATACAATTCCTCAACTTTCACTCACCTGTCTGCAGCAAAATCGACTACAACAACCGTTGCAGCACCTGAGAATTACAGAACGTTTCACTGTAATGTATTGTGTACGATATTTTACATATATATATATATAATGATTATAGATTGATAGATATAATCTGATATATATATATATTGTATATATGTAATTACAATATATATATTGTATATATATATAATTATACATATATATTATATATCTATATATATATACATACATAGATATCATTCATTATGTATCCACCACTCCCTTTCGCTTCGCGGTTCGTTTTTTTGTGCCAGCGTGGCCATCCATCAAGGCCCCTCGGAGCCCACCACCACCAGCCATCGCCTTGGTGGCTTCTGCAATGACGCCACCCAAAAGATGAAGATCAAGAATTTAGTAGGAATCTACTGTTCTATCTTTTTGCTATGTCCATAAAATATGTAAACTTTGATGGAAAAGATTTGGAACAACATGGAACAACCATGGCTTCAACCCTTGGGCTTTCAGCAACGTGCGGGATTTCCCAAGAAAAAAATCTGGCAGCTGAGGGAAAAATGGTGATAGACCATGGTATATGGAGCTATGTTTCCGACAAATCCATATTGTTGATATGATGGGGCTAGAATGGGGTCATAGTGGAGCTACAATGAGCCATAATGCGATAAAATGGGATACTAAGGAATCGAATAATGGCAACTGAAATAGGTTATGCTACTTTGGAATTTCCCCTTTATGGAGCTGTCTGCCAAACCAGACTCAAACTGGAGGGCAATGCGGCATTTACGCATTAACGATGGGTATTGGGGATATGAAACCAAGATGATTCACCCAGAGGTTTCTGAGACAGCCTGATGGGTCCACATGCCGAGGTCTGAGTTGCTGGCTGGAGCTGCTGCCTGATTCCGTGCCCATTGCGTCACTGCGTCGTGGATAAACTTCAACAGGATATGGTATGGTATGGATAAAGGGCAGGAAAATATGAGAAAACGGTAAATCAAGTTAAAATCAAATTATTTGTTCTATTATCAGAGAAAAAATGTGAAATCAACGGCGGCTTCGCGAAGTGGAAGTGAGTGGATTCTTTGGCTTTCCAGAAGAATCCAAACTTTGGAAAAATACAAACCATCTTTACCCAAACAAATATCCAAAAATGGTTCCAGATCCTCCAAGCCCACCCATGTCATTGGGGGTGTTAGCTGAGTTCAAGCCCACTTCTTTACGTGATGGGACGCTAATTTTCTTGGAATCCGTGGCCATCCGCAATGACCCCTCATGAAACAAGTGGGATCGAAATCATCACAAATCATCACAAACGGTAGGCGCAGGTGGCATTGGGGGTATTATGAACATCCATGAAAATAAATGAACATCTGGTTGCTGGTTTGAACCCCTCTGAAAAATATGAAAGTCAGTTGGGGTTATTATTCCCAATATGTGGAACAATAAAAAATGATCCAAACCACCAACTAGCATTAAAATCCCACCAGAAAAATCATGGTTTACCACAATGGCGATATTTCATCCTCTGGGATAAAACATAGCCATTTTCAGAGATACCTAATTTTTCCGTGTAGTTGATGGTGAAGTTCCAAAGGATGTGGTAAACTAGTTAAATCCTGTTCAATCCACAACTTCTTCTAGTTAAATCCACATTTTTTCTAGCTAAATCCACAACTTTTCAAGTTAAATCAAATGAATTCCCCGTTTTTTCATGTTTTTTCCATTGCCAGCCACTGGCAACGCCAGCCTCGGGCGGGGGCTGAAGAGCTGAAGGCTTCGGCGCTCCCAGGGCAGTGGTCTGACGTGGCGGGGATCTCATGGGATACATCGGGGAACGTCCAACGTGGGATTTCATGGGGATATAGACCTCTTCTTTCATGGGATATCATGGGATATCATGGGATATAAATGATTTGATCATGGTATAATGATTAAAATGATGCAATGAGGTTAAAATGTCGTGATCATTGGGGTAATGTGGGTAAAACGGATCAACAGCTATAGATATCTATGGAGTATCTATGGAAATATCTATGGAATGATGATTGATGTGGTGAAAACAATGCCCACCTATAAAAATGGTGATGACTGGGGGATGGTTTATGGCATTGTTTTAACCACATTAATGCTTAAGTACTTGGGGATGGGGATAGATGGGTGTCTGAAAACGAGGTATACCTCAAAACCGCAATGCAATTTTAAGAGGGGAAGTGATTCTCAACCATTGGATAAAATGGGGATAAATGGGGTATGTACTACATGTATCCTATTTTCAAGCAACTCCATCATGGGAATAATCCCATGATATCATTTCATAAAATTTATGGGATATAATGGGGCAATCTGTTCTCGATATTTCTTGATGGTGATTTACCTATTACTTCCACGGCAATTTTCCATGGCTATGTTTGAATATCATTGGTTTCATAGGGTTTAAGCATCCCAAAATTGAAAGGTCCTAGGAATAATCATTGGGATATGAATGGGACTATCAATGGAGATTTCAATTGGGATATCAATGGGGATATACCTTCTGGATCCATCTGGTAATCTGACATAGTCATGGAATATGGCCATTGAAATTAAATAAGAGGGACATTATCTACAAAAATGAATAATTGTCCATGGCTATGTTAAATGACTCAACAGTCAAATTTGATTATCATTCCAAATAGGATGGGGATTCAACCAAGGTTCCTCACAATTTGTTGTGTGGCTTTCATGAATACCAGTAGGGCTTAAGCACCAACAACCACGCTTAGAATGGCTTAGAAGATTTAGAAGGGCCTGTGAACAATTAATTAATAACAATTGCTGGGGGGTGCCGTCTTTTTGGGAGCCGTTGAATCCCTAAAGTAGGATTGGACATATCATAATCTTTACTTGAAACTTGAAATCACCAATCATATTCGTTCTGTGTGGCTTTGCCCAAACGTGGGGTGTTTTTATCCCAAGGTCACCTCAGAGAAACCCTTGCTGCACGGCCCTTTTTGGTAAAGGATGTCATTCATGGTCAAATCCTTCCGGTGCATTTCCTGCCAAAGGTCAAAAGCAGATGTCAAAAAAAACCAAAGACGTTCTACACACTCGGGCAGTGGTGTATCCTGCTGTGTCCTGTTGATCATTTACCCTCGGGTAATTTAACATAGCTATGGAAAATCACCATTTTGAATGGGAAAATCCACTATAAATGGCCATTTTCAATAGCTATGTTAGTTTACCAGAGGGTATTGTGTTTTCATGATTTCAGAAGGTCATTGCCGCAGGCTTCGCCCGAACTGTGCTTCTGACGACCCGCTTTTTTTTGGGAAGAGCGGAGGACTTGAACCGACATTTGTCGTCGAGTCGTGGAAAACAACACTGCAGATTTTTCGGCGACCAAAAATTCAAACTGTATCTGAGTGCTGTGACTGCAAGTCATGATTTGGTTTCTGAGAAAAGATCAGTTGTACATAGTTGTACCAAGGCAGAAGGCCAGCACTTTGTTTCTTTCTATAATGACATATGGGGCAGCGCAGCCAAATAATAATCTGGAAGTTATTCAACACCTTAAATGATAAAGCAATTCTGCGTTGGGTTCTTTGCACAGTTCGGCCCACACAAAGTCTTGCAGAGTGGCTTTCTCAAACAGGGGACCCCCTGTCACCATTGGCATTCCCATGAAACATCACCCATTTGATCCCATTTGGGACACCATCTGGTTATTTAACATAGCCATGGAAAATGGCCCATAGAAATAGATGGTTTACCATTTATAGATGGTTTAGCTATTAAAAATTGTGGATCTTTCCATGGCTATGTTAAATAACCATTTGGGATAGTTGTGGGGTCCAGCAATTCCCATGACGGATCCATGGTGCTGGTATATTAATGCTAACATAAAGGGTTTTTTTGTTGATGGGATCCATGTTACCATATATAGCAGCACCATGGATCCTATGGGATTTACCCTCCGGTAAACTAACATAGCTATTGAAAATTGCCATTTATAGTGTTTTCCCATTAAAAATTGTGATTTTCCATAGTTATGTTAGTTTACCAGAGGGTAAGAAGACCCGGCCGTGTCATTGAAAAATCGACCCTCGGTACCCGGTGAAAAACCGAAACCGTCGCCTGCCATCGCCTCTTGCGTTCGGCTTGCTGTTGCCGCCGCTTCCGCTGCTCTTCCTGAGGGCTTGGGCAAACCACTGTCATTATCTGGTTGGTGGTGCAATAGCCATCTTGAAAAATCTGCAAGTCAATGGGATGGATTATCCCATATATTATGGAAAATAAAAAATGTTTGAAACCACCAACCAGTTATACTGTTGATCGTATTATCCCACTTTATCCAGATGATATATATATATATATATTGAATCACCATTAAAAAAACATATCACACGTTGGATGCTTAAATTGCCCACGTTTGTCAATTCCTTGACTTTCAACCACTTTGAGACCTTCTTAACTGTCACTGTTCATATCTGATCAGATATACCTATTCCTAGATGGAAATCCTCAGGATCTCATCATGTAAAAAGTGGTAAAACCACTCAATTTCCCCACTTTGAACCTCCCCATTGTTGTTTATCATCCCATTTCATCCCCATCAACTCCCCGTGACTGTGTGCAGGATAAGCCATGGTACACCCATTTTCCGATTTGACCCGCCCCGCCCTGTGGCTGCTCCTCCTTCTCCCTGCGCCGCAGCTCCGCGTGCCGCCGCTCCGCCGCGCGCTTGCCGCGCTGTTGGCGCCGCGCCGCCAGCGTCAGCGCCCGCTGCCACTGATGCAACAGGCCACGGAGACATGAGAAGCGACGACGCTGGCGCTCCTGGGAGAATACAGAATACCTAAATAGGATGATAATGTGGATTCTTATGGGATTCATAGTGATTATTGTGGGATTATATATATATATATATGTATTTTTATATATATATATATGGATTTTATGGTTATTATTTGGATGATAATATGGATGATAATCTGGATGATAATATGGATCAATAGTGATTTAATGAGACTATTATTGGAATATGATGAATATGATGGATATGATGGGAATAATGGGAATTGAATAGGGATTTCATGAAAATATCATGGGAATATTGGATTGGTTTAAGGGAAAATCTACCGGAAACCTTGGTTTTTACCATTAAATATGGAAGGTTCCTGTAAACTGTCCCTTAAACCAATCCAATGATAATGAGATTTCATGGATTTCAAGTGGGTCTTAATGGGAGTTCAATTGGGTGCTCATTGGGTATTAGTATTGTTTTTTCTTACATATATCATATATCATATTATCTTCTGAGAAATGGTTTTGTACTCTGCCAATGCCTTCATGATGTTATTGTCCCTATCATACCGGTATCATGAAGCAAAATGAATGGATAGATGGTGCAATTAGCCCAACATTGTCGAACATTTTGATTTCCATAGGATGTGTTTGCTGTTGATGTGTGGGGGATCTGAATGTGTTTCTTTTTTTGGTGAGTTAGCTTTTTATTTCCGAGGGACTTAATGGGAGTTCAATACATGTTCATTGGTGGCCGTGATGAATTTCAGAATAACTAGGCAAAATAAGGTGAGTCATTGAATGGATGTATATTGGAATGGGGTACACCCAACCAAATATGGGAGTATCACCCATCAAACAGGATAAACATGTGGAGATGTTGAAGAGTACTATGACATATGACATGACTACACATGACGATTATTGGAGCCCAGTTAGTTGATCATATTCAAAAAATGTCAAACTCCAAAGCTCACCCCGTATGGATTTCAACTTGCTTCCCTGGGCACTGCGACTGGACAGGATGCAACACATCACCATGCTAAACGTTTCTCATTGTTTCTCCTGTTGGTTCTTCACGCGTTTGGCATAGGAATTGCAGCGGAGGTCTTCCTTTGCCATGGCTTTCATTTCTCTTCTCTGCTGTGGTATTTCCTTCCGCGTGCCTTGGGTGCCTCTCAACTTCTGGCCATGTTGATCTTCTTGTCTCATTCGCCAATTTTCCCAGGCCTTGATTTTTTTTGAAGGTTGCAGAAAGGAGCCAGGTGTTCAACCACATAATTATATATATATTATATATAAATAGAAATGGATAGAAATGGAGCGTATATTTGTCTACAGTGGACATCTATCTGACGACATTCCAAAAAAAATAAGAATTGATAAGAACCAAAGCAAACCAAAACCAGCCAACAACAAGTCCAGCTGCGTGAAAACACCTCGCTCTGTATTCGGCATTTTCAGAGTGGACACGAAGCAGTTTGGTCATAAGAGTTTCTGCTCGAGCAAGATTGGTTTTCACGCACATGTCCTTAGATTTGTTTAACCACAACAAAAATAAAACATATATTGCCTATAGTCCCTAAGCAGTTGATTTCCCATTGGGAAAATCAGCCAAAAAATCGACTAAATTCGACTAAGCAAATCATGGTGTCCCTGAAGATGTCAGTGAATTGTTTCCAGAGTGCAACACCATCTTTGTATTGCTCCTCACAGAGGGCATTGACACGATTGCGGCCGCCTTTTCGATTGAGGAGATTCAAGCTGCTCAACTGATCATGAGCTTCAACCAAGTGACCTCGATGCTCAGGGCTTCCATGTTTCATGTCAGAATATGACACATCTTCACCACACAGGCCATCGAAACAAAAAAAATGGTATCTGGAAAATGATCTGTTCGCGTTTCCCAAAATGATCCCAGGAACAACTTCAGGGCGACATGGAACAACAGCATGTCGCATTTTCGCTGGCCAGATTTTCCATGACGGAAAATGTTTACCCGATATTGCATGCCAGTCGCTGAGATTTCGAAGGGCTGGCGACATCAGTTGCCTCCTTCCAAACCAAAATGTATTCCATAGGACGATGAAAAAGCGTACACCCATCCTCGACAGTTCTTGGTGCTGAGAGCATGGTTAGGATTGGAAGTTTCCAACTGTGGCGGAACTCGACAAATCAGCTGAAACTCAAAGCTTGTTCTATCGACGAAAGCATCTGCAATGGACTAGCTGACAAAAGAATGCGTGTGGGTCTTACTAATAGGCATTTGAAACATTTTGAACATGTTCAATAGCAAACTGGGCAGAGCGCCTGGAAGGTTTACAAACATTCAGGCATAGATTTCCAGGGGTAATTTGCACTGCCTCTTGAAAGTAATCGCAGAAAACCCATGAAAATTCCAACAACGGAGGTACAGTATCAGTGATGCCTGCACTCAGGGCCAAGCCAGGCGGATGCTTTCGCCAAGAATCTCCTCTCTGCTCTTGCTATGCTCTCGACAAACTTCTTCAAAAGCCACTTCAATTCGCTGCTGCAAATTACCAGATACTCCTCGTAGTACTCGCTCCTCCAGGCGGCGCTGATGTTTCTGCATGAACTGATCAGTCAGGCCGAAGGTGAGAATAACTCACCAAAGAAATACTGTTCTCACCCGATCCCACAATGCATATCTTCAATGTTTTCTTGGAGAACCCATTTGTGCGGCCCTCAGGCAAGATTTGGGCAAATCTGCTTTCCATGTTTTAAATTTGTGTTTGGCTTGGTATGTTTCAGCTCGAAAACATGTAGTGGGTGAAATTTGTGTGCGCTGAGCAGGAAGCTCAAACTTCTAAAGCCAAGTGGTTCAAAAACTTGTTAAAAGTGGATCCAAACTGAGGACATGTATTGACACAATCATTCAGGGACATTTTTCCTGGGCTTTGCCGCTTGACACTCCTTGACAGCTGTCAGAATTACCACGTACTCCAAAGCTGTGGGCAAATCACAGGTTGTCGTTTGCATCCTGATGCATTGAAAGCTGGCAGTGGCATAGTAGTAGGTCATGCCATTCCTCAGATCCCAAGAAAACCATGTACGGCACAAGTCCTGACTTTTTGAAGTAACAACTCGCTTCATATACATATATATATATTTATACATAATTATATTATATGTATATGTATAGTTATAATATATATATATATATATACATATTACATTAGCATGTCCAGGCATAATCTTTGCAAGCACAATAATTCAAGAGTGCCTGCTCATGTGGTAAACTGTTTCACTTTAGCATACGTTTGCCAAGTTTCTTGCCACAGAAGGAATGAATACATCGATTCTGGGGGCCCTGGCGGCCCTGGCGACGTGTTGTTCGCTTCGTGGGAGCCGGCTGGTCTTCCAGGGCAAACTGATCTTCATCACCTCGAGGAAAATACGATGAGTTCCTCTGAAAACAGATGTGAATGAAAATTGATGAAAATTGCAACTTTGAGGGTCTCCTTTAATTCTCTCTAATCCCTTCCTCCTAATACTAAACGTCCCCCTAATACTAAAAACAGGCATCCATCTCCAATTTCCGAAAATTTCAGTTTGGCCAATTTGACTTTTAATTGATCCCCTTTAAAAAACAATTTAAAAATCAACCTACCATTTGTGGGTTCTCCCCCCTAATACTAAAAACTAGTTCACCCCGGGGTGTTTAGTATTAGGGGGGCCTAGTCCCAATCCCTCACTCCAAGCTGCCTAGCTACTCTAGCAATTAGGGGTAAGCTTCTAACTGCCATTTTTGGCAATATTTTAATTGCGTTATATAAAGAAATTTAATTGATTTTGAGATCGGAAAAAATAGTTTTTAGTATTAAGGGTTTAATCCATTCCTCCATTCTAATGCATGAATAACTAATTAACATGACTTCGATTTGGTTCCCTAATAATAAATACCCCCCTAATACTAAAAACTACCTGCCGTGTTTTGTATTAGGGGGGGGGTTTAGTATTAGGAGGAAGGGATTAATTGTTTGCTGAACATCATACAAGTCCCAGTTTCACATGTTTCACCACTTCACATCTTCTCCAAGTTGCTGGAATCATCATCCACGGGGTTGGGCAACACGCCGTCCAAATTCCCCAGATCTTCTGCTTGCATGTCCTGCCTCTGCTGCTTGTGCTGCTGCTCTGTGTGTTGAACTGCTATTCCAGATGCGGACTCGTAGGATGTCCTGTTTTGGGAGCGGTGGAGAAACACTGAGAAATGTACGTACTATGGAAAATATGGCATTATGTAATAAATCAAAATCTAATTGCAATGATGGGTTATCATGGTGATTCACACAATCACTGTGATTCGCACAATGATTGTCATGATCATGATCATGATCATGATCATCATCATCATCATCATTATTCAAAATCGCGAACACATGTACATAGTATAAATGCGCTTGCACAAGTTAAGTACCACGGGCAGTTCCAGGACTCCTAGCAGAGTTTTCCATGATCCACTTCTCTAGCAAAAGGCGCTGCTGCTGCGAAAACATGTCTTGGATCACCTCGTAGCACGTGTCGAGAATGTCGGGATCCACAAGAAAGACCCAAAAGCGGAAGAGAGTTGTTTGTCTGAGGGTGGGCGGGCCGCCCCAAATCCCTGGTTGACTATATATCAAGTAAATGCCCCCTGTATTTCATGTATTTCAACGGCCATCACTTGAGGGCCCACGCCCCATTTTTCTCGAGTTTTTGGGGCACCATGGCACCTGCTGGCGACTCTCCCGCGACAGCTGTCCCAGAAGCTCCCAGATCCGTGAGACACGGCACGCCGGATGCCTGGGTCTGTGAAAGAATATGATTTCAGACCGAGGTCAACATGATCACCCCTATAGCTACCCTCCATCCTCGGCCTCATGGCTCCAGGATTTGGCTTCGCTCTGGCTTTGGCACTTTTGCTCTTCGCTGGCTTCGCTGGCGTCTGTCTCGCCTTCTTTTCCTTCACGTCCGAGCTCTTCGGTGCTTTTCTCTTGCCCTTAGAGGTCGCGAAAGATCATGGCTTTGCCCATGCGCGGAAGCCAACCACATGAGACAAATGCATGATACAGTATATCACATATGTATAATATGTACCATTATATCTTGATCTTGGATAATCTCGGCACATGGTAGAATCTGGACAGAAGATGGTACAGTACAATGCTGTCCGCTTAGAAACACGTCAGACAGGAAACAGGACACGAGTATAGAATCAATTTCTCATTTCCAGGTGGTGATTGTGCACAAGATTGTGCACTTCGCGCACCAAGCATCGAGTTTCTGCACTTTGAAGCGTCCTGACAGTCCAAGGAGTCTGCAATTCTAGAGTTTTTGGAGCAGCTCTCCCACACCACTGAAGGAAGATGCCCTGTCAGTGCTGCAATACTCTCTCTTTTAACGTTTCCTCCATAAACATCACACTTTAGGGGGCGGAGACACTATTTTTGAACAATCAAAAGGTACTGCTTTGGTCCAAACAAAAAACACAGGTTTATCTCAAATAGCTCACCCCAACATCTGAAATCATCACTCTTCCGTTCTTTAACTGCCGCAAAGTGTGAGCAAGTGTGTGGGTATCCATGAAAATTCCAGGTGTTTGGAACCCATACAAGGCCCTGGTTCCAACAGCCCCTTTTTGTGCGGCAAAATTCCCATGTCATACCTTCAGTAAACTAACATCTGGAAAGTCCATGAAAATCCATGAAAACCATCTGAATATATCTGAATCCACCTTGAAGGGGGATCATTTCGCAATGGGAAAACCATGGAGTTTCTCCAACTCCGCGAAATCCGAGAATCGCTGTGGCTCTCCACGGAGCCAGGTATCATAACTTTGGCGCCGTTCGGTATGTGCCAATGTCTCAAAGGCCTTAAGGACGTATCAACTTTTGCCAGCGGCATAAATGACATGAATCCATATGAATCCAATGACTCAGCGTCTATCCATCTTGGTTTTGCTTAGGCCACTTGGTGGCTCATCCCACGAATCGTAAGTAGGTTATAACCCCAGTTATAAATGGGATAAGTAGGGTTAATCCACTTCAATCACTGGGGTTATAACCCACTTACGATTCGTGGGATGAGCCACCAAGCATGAACCCCCCAGAAAAATCATGTTCCAAATAGACGTCCAGCAACGATGGATGGATTCACCAACGGGAAATACAGAAAATGATGGACTCAACGCATCCGAGAAGCTTGATAGACTTCGTGAAACGATTCCTGGCAGATTCAGCGAATGAAACATTGATGTGTGCAAATCTTCATCTTTAAACTTCCAAAAAGGATAAGCAAACACAATTTCCCAGTTGGCTTGGAAAATTATAAAGGCCATGGAACTATGATTGACTATAATGTTTCCACCACACATGAGCGCTGCAAATTGATCTTCAGAGTGAACTTGAGTGAAGAATAATCGCTTGACACTGGTCTTATTCTTAGCGTAAGAGAAGATCGCAGTCTCTGTGCAATACGATTGTCACGTTTCACCACTTTGGTGTGGTCCCGCGTGCATTCTTCTTCTATTGGTAGCAACTGCAGCTGTGAATATTGTATCAACTGTTTTGACCATGAATGCACATAGTACCCTCTGGTAATCTAACATAACTATTGAACATCACAATTTTGAGTGGGTAAATCAACTATAAATGGCCATGTCCAAAAAAAATATGTCAGTTTACCAGAGGGTACCTGCCGGGTACAAACTTGAGTTTGCATCCAGACGTCCCAGTGCTCCTGCCTTGCTTCCACCTTTGTCTGGATGGACCTGCCAGCATTTTATCTCGGCTCTCAGGGTTGCTGGCAACACCCCGACTCAAAAGAGTCTTGAAGATCAACAAAAACTAGTCCACGTCTCAATTGGGCCCTACAAGCTATTCATCATGTACCCTCCAGCAATCGAAGCAACGTGAAGCAATGGAAAATGCCACTGGGCCGAGCCATTCAAAATATCCCCATCCCATCTCATGAAATACCAGTTGGATGAAAACGTTTTCCCAATCCTGTGGGTGAGTTCACAATCTCCAAAGAGCTAGGTAGTATAAGTCCCTATTTCATAACCAATCGACCATAATTTAGCAGCTATCATACAGTATCATATTCCCAGACTTCTGTTGGTTCAAAATATTTCATGGTTAAAGCGCCCTATTTCACAACCAACCAAGGTATAACTTTGATCTCTCACATTCCGCCATGCTCATCATGCTCATCTAACCGTGGCCTCCAAGGCCCTTCGTCGGAAAGCGTGACGGATCTCATCCACGCTGGCCGATGGGGAGATGCAAAGCACATGGTAGAAGTTGGACATCGCCACAGCCCAAACAGCCCATAACAGCTTCAGTCACCCTCCCTCCGGTCACGTAACATATGGAAAATCATGGAACAGCCAACATAGATGAATTTCCCAGCTACAAACTTCCACAGTGGATTTCCAATGGGATTTTCAGAGCCTCAGAGGATATCATCAATGTTGATGGTTTTGTTGGGAAATTTAAGGTTGAACCGGTACAAATGTTGGATTCTAGCTGGTGAGCTTATATTATCTTATATTAAGAACTGTTTATACTTTGTTAATCTTTGTTATACAAACAAAACTTTGTCTGCAAGCGTTCGTTTGTCGAATTGCATTATGGCAAGCAACAGGTCCTGAGGGTCAAAGCCTTGAGCTGCTTGAGCTGAGTGCTCTGCAAAAGGTGATGTGTTTCTGCAGTCCGAATCGTATTGAATCGTATTGATCAATCCCGTTTCATAGGAAGTAAGTGTGACACCCAAGGAAACGACATGAAACAACTACGAGTATCATTTCTTGTTTTCTTCACTGTTCTGAGTGGCCTAGTCAAGTCTGTGCTGTCACAAGGACTTCAGTGATGCCATGCAATGCCCACATGAAGAAAACCTTCACGGAGGGTCATTGCAAATAGAACTTGACGACTCTGCAGGGAGCGTGCGATGACTTCATTGCATACATGATATGTCCAACGATGTCTGTACCAAGCCTATCCACACAAAAGCAAAATCGATTTTGGCCTGGTTTGTTTGCTTATTCCACCAGTAGCTTTGGCCGGATGAGTCTTGAACCTGACAACTGACAAGGCATGAGGAGCTCTGGTCCATTAGAAAAGACCAACACAATATGATGGTTTCAATACTCAAAGAAGAGACGAATCAAATGAATACAACTTGATACTGAAAAACATTGAAAATTCACTGCATCATCCCAACACCTGTGAGGTCAGAGTCTGGCCATCATATCAACATCGACCAAGAGATTCAGATGGTTAACTCATGTCGTATACTCCATCTTCGTATCATCCTGAAGCCACATGGCAGTGTGTCAAAACCCTGTACCCCTGTAGTTCACATCAAAATAGCTGGGATTTATGGATGTGCATCCCACTAAAAATGGTATCTATAGGTATTGATCCATAATAACTATGGATAATCACCATTTTTAATGGGTAAATCCACTATAAATGTCTATTGTTTTAATGGGTATAACCATATTTTCTAATTCACCAAACTCAAAAAAAACATCGGCGCTTTTGGCATATAGTTGCCCTAGACTTGTCCAGCAACCCCGTTGAAGCTGCAACATGAACAAAACCTAAAAAGGGGTCGTCATCCCAGTAAACAAAATGGCTGAAAACTAGATAAAATCAAGTCTCTGGGGAAATTATAATATTTCACCAACCTGAATTAAGGCCATTTGGGGATGATTCCCCTTACTAACTATGATTTCCAGTGAGGTCGTAGTGAGGTCGTTATAATTTACCCAGAAGTCTATGTAATATATCTCCAGTAGATTTCGCATTCCTGGTGGATTGACCATTTAATGCGAAATCGTAAGGCAATGTCGTAACCATCCCCACTGACTTAGCATTTTTATGGGTATAATCTATCAATCCATATGGCTGGTTTATGGCAATGCTATATATATAAACATGATCATCCATTATCCGACATGATGTTTTCGGTTAAATCCCAATAACTTCAATAGTATCTCTGAAAGTATCTCTATGATGTTGATTGATTTTGGGACTTTTCCATCCTTATGGCAATGGCTTTACCGTAAAAAACCCATGAAAATAGCCATGGTAAAAACCCCATCGGCACCCCCCGCCTGCTCCCAAGGATCCGGTCCGGGCTTTGGCGCACCCACTGCCGTGGTCTGGGCGCATGGCGCCGCGTTGGGGAAAGGTCGTTTGGATTTGAAGTTCAACCATCCAAGAAAGGAGAAGTACCAACAATTTGACATATTTTTTCAAAAAAATGGATTGAACCAATCCATTTTTTTTTATTTGGACCTCAAGATGGAGCATTGAAGCGTCAAACATAGGGTATAAAATTAATTTTCAGGGCGTATCACAAATAAACAGGTGTCAAAACGAAGGATTAATTTCACCCCAATCAATGGCTATTGAACTCTTCAAGGGGTCTTTTGGACCGAGCCTGAGGATACGAATATTGGCAATATTGGGGAGTTATCGTCCGAAAAATTGGATTTTAAGGGATGTAGCTTCGATCATCGGTGGTTTGTGTACAGAAAATGATCCCAAATTTTGAGACAAACCCGGTCAAAATATCGAAGATGGGGAATATGTGGAAGGACCACAGGGAATTAACATGGATAAACTCAAAATATCCAAAAATAATACAGTGGCTCTCTACACGCTCAAGTTCGAGCCTCCCCCAAAAGAATGGGAATCGACAAGCCTACACTGATAGGGAAATCGGCCGCCAGACTAGACGGCCGCATGACTCGCCCATTTTCTCCCATGACCTCGTTGGTCTTTTTGTTCCACCAGTAGGACTTGCCAGATGCAGTGTCAGGTACCTTCTTGCAGCTGCGAAAACTGTGGTCAAAGGGTGGTTGGTATGAGAGCAAATGCCTCTGGCTGGTAGTTGTCGCGATAATATTCCAAGAAATGATTAAAACCTATTGGGCCCAATTTTTTTTGGATGAACATCCATTTACCAGCCGGGTTTTTGACACATGGCCCATACCCAAATACACTTGGCTTTTCAGTCATGAGCTGCTGTCGAAGACAAAAGCAAAGCCACGTAACATCACAAAACCACAGGTTTGCACAGCCCTTCATCCAAAGCCAAAACGGCTGGACGCTTGAATTTCTGCAAGTTCTCTTGGGCAATGCGGATTCTTTGGATTCCCAGAAATATTGGACTGGTTTACAGGGGTTCCTATGATAGTGCCTATGGAGTCTACCAATTGTGTTTTTTCAGCCAGAATCACCTTCCATGTTCCATGGTTTTCCACCCTGCACCCTGGCCTCCTGCCAATCATCAGGTGTTGGCGCTGGTACATTGCTAGCAGCCGCTACTGGTTTGGTCCCTGGCACGAAGTCGTTGTGCTGAGTTATGGGAAGCGACACAACACCTGCTTCGTGGTTGCGAACTTTACTGCTGCCTCGACAACATTGCGAAAATGGGGTCATGCTGAAAGGTGGCAACATGGGAAGAAATGGACGTAAAAGGACAAGTGGCTCAATAAGGCCCCACAGAAGCCTGCACACAAGTCACCCTCTGCTCAATACGATTTGTTTAGGAAAATCATGCGTAAACAATGTAAACGGTCCATTTTCATCCATTTTCCATAGCTACCCTAAATATCCCTAAATGGGGATGGGTCAAAACCCTGGTACCCCTGGTGAACCCCAAAATAGCTGGTAAATGGATGTTCATCCCACTAAAAATTGTATTAATAGGTGTTGATCCATAGCCAAATTACCAAAAGGTCTTGCAAAAGAAAACACCAGCATTGGGCATTTGCCACACCTCCCACACGACGGGCCAGCCGCCGGGCAGTGACGCGGAGCATCCCTCAAAGTCGGGGGTGCATTGGGTGGTCTTTTAGAGAAAATTCCATGAAACTCGATCTTTTCCCATTGAAAACTGATGAAACCATGGTTTTTCCAATGAAAACTGATGAAACCCTGGTTTTTCCCCTTGAAAACTGATGAAACCATGGTTTTTCCCAATGAAAACTGATGAAAACATGGTTTTTCCAATTGAAAACTGATGAAACCCTTGTTTTTCCCCATTGGAAACTGATGAAACCCTGTTTTTTTCCCATTGAAAACTGATGAAACCCTGGTTTTTTCCCATTGAAAACTGATGAAACCCTGGTTTTTCCCAATGAAAACTGATGAAACCCTTGTTTTTCCCCATTGAAAACTGATGAAACCATGGTTTTTCCAATGAAAACTGATGAAACCCTGGTTTTTCCCCTTGAAAACTGATGAAACCATGGTTTTTCCAATGAAAACTGATGAAACCCTGGTTTTTCCCCTTGAAAACTGATGAAACCATGGTTTTTCCCAATGAAAACTGATGAAACCATGGTTTTTCCAATTGAAAACTGATGAAACCCTTGTTTTTCCCCATTGGAAACTGATGAAACCCTGTTTTTTTCCCATTGAAAACTGATGAAACCCTGGTTTTTTCCCATTGAAAATTGATGAAACCCTGGTTTTTCCCAATGAAAACTGATGAAACCCTTGTTTTTCCCCATTGAAAACTGATGAAACCATGGTTTTTCCAATGAAAACTGATGAAACCCTGGTTTTTCCCCTTGAAAACTGATGAAACCCTGGTTTTTTCCCATTGAAAACTGATGAAACCCCGGATTTTTCCCCTTGAAAACTGATGAAACCCTGGTCTTTTCCCCATTGAAAACTGATGAAACCATTGTTTTTCCCATTGAAAACTGATGAAACTCGATCTTTTCGCATTGAAAACTGATGAAACCCTTGTTTTTTCCCATTGAAAACTGATGAAACCATTGTTTTTCCCATTGAAAACTGATGAAACCCTGGTTTTTTCCCATTGAAAACTGATGAAACCATTGTTTTTCCCATTGAAAACTGATGAGACCCTGTTTTTTCAACTTGAAAAGTGATGAAACCATTTTTTCCCCTTGAAAACTGATGAAACCTTGCTTTTTCCCCGTGAAAACTGATGAAACCATTGTTTCTCCCATTGAAAACTGATGAAAACCCTGGTTTTTCCCAATGAAAACTGAAGAAACCATTGTTTTTCCCATTGAAAACTGATGAAACTCGATCTTTTCCCTTGGTTTTTCCTCATTGAAAACTGATGAAACCATTGTTTTTCCCATTGAAAACTGATGAAACCCTTGTTTTTCCCATTGAAAACTGATGATAATTCGATCTTTACCCATTGAAAACTGATAACAAAAATGTGTTTGCCCTTGAAAACTGATGAAACCATTGTTTTTCCCCTTGAAAACTGATGAAACCATCGTTTTTCCCCATTGAAAACTGATGAAACCATTCTTTATTTTTTCCCAATGAAAACTGATGAAACCC